CGTCGTGGTCGTGCTGGGGCGTGGTCGTGCTGGAGTGGCCCGCACCCTGTGATTTATCGATCGGGATTTCGAAAACAAGCGTTTCGCCTGAGACATCCTCAAATTTTAATCCGCCGGCCTCCTTCGACCTCGATATTTATCAAGGAAAGAATCCGCCGGCCTCCTTCAAGTTGGGCACGGGGGACATTGTTTACATGCTAAAAGGGGACCCTGGGCCGAAAGCCCTTTCCGGGAAAAACTGGCACGCTCGGAGGAGGACCCCGAAAGGGGGCCAGGTCCCAAAAGGCCCAGATCGGACGACGACGACGACGACGACGCCCACGGTGAAGCAACTGCAGCGGCATCGGGTCACTCGTCGACGTCGTCGTCGCCGTCATCGTCGTCATCGTCGTCGTCGGCGTCGACGTCGTCGTCGCCGTACTCGTCGTCGTCGACGTCGTCGTCGTCATCTGATGCCTTGCACAGGCGATATCAAGACGACGTTGAGAACAGCTCGGCTTTGTGAGGGCGCCCCCTAGCGAAATCGCCGCCGGTTTGGGCCTGCTCGGGCCCAAGACGGCGTGTCAGCGCCCAAGACGGTCCAGGACGTGCACCCCCCAGCACGACCACCCCCCCAGCACGACCACACCCCAGCAAGACCACACCCCAGCACGACCACACCCCAGCATGACCACACCCCAGCACGACCCGATCGATAAATCACAGGGTGCGGCACGACCACCCCCAGCACGACCACGCCCCACGCACGACCACCCCCCCAGCACGACCACACCCCTAGCACGACCACACCCCAGCACGACCACACCCCAGCACGACCACACCCCAGCACGACCCCACCCCAGCACGACCCCACCCTAGCACGACCACACCCCAGCACGACCACACCCCAGCACGACCACACCCCAGCACGACCCCACCCAAGCACGACCCCACCCCAGCACGACCACACCCCAGCACGACCACACCCCAGCACGCACCCACACCCCAGCACGACCTCACCACATCACGACCACACCCCAGCACGACCACGCCCCAGCACGACCACGCACCCAACACGCACGACCATACTCCAGCACGACCACACCCCAGCACGACCACACCCAGTCGCACCCCCGTGGAATGTTTCGTGGGGTGTCTGGTTGAGTGGTTGCCTGTTCGTGGGGTGTCTCGTGGAATGTTTCACGGGGTGTCTCGTGGAATGTTTCGTGAGGTGTCTCGTGGGTTGTTTCGTGAGGTGTCTCCTGGGATGTTTCGCGGGGTGTCTCGTGGGATGTTTCGCGAGGTGTCGCCCAGTTGATATCGTGAAAACGTGACCATGCTGCACATGTCTATATCCCTTTCCGGGTTCGTGGGTCCATCATGTTCGAGCCGCGCCCAGCCGCTGGGACGAGTTGGCCCCGGAGGCCCGCTGCCTCCCTCTCCCTCCCTCCTCCCCCCGGCCGCGCGCGGCGGCGCGCCGGCCTCCTCGGGGCCGCGCTCGCCGGCAGGGCCCGCCTGCTGGCGCGGGCAATCCCTCTCTCTCTCTCACTACCCCATTTGCTCCCCCTGTCTGTCCGTCGTCCGCAGTTTGTGGATCGGAGGCTGCTGAGCAGCGGGGGGTCTCGCCTCCGACCGAGGTGCCGCGGGTTTCAGGGGCGGTGATGTCTGGGTATTTCATGAAGTACAACGGCGCTTACCGCGCCCCCGAGCCGGGGCCCATGATTTCCGCAATAGGCCATGCATTATTCAATGCCTCGAATTTCTTCGACTACAACCCAGCGTTGGACGGCCCGCGCGCGACGCCGAAGCCGAAGCCGAGAGCGAGACCGATGACCGTGGAGGACTGGGCGTGGCAACAAGTTGGGGATAGCAGGAGGAGGAGGAGGAGGAGGAGGAGGAGGAGGAGGAGGAGAAGGAGGAGGAGGAGGAGGATGAGGAGGAGAAGGAGGTGTCGTCGTCGTCATCATCATCATCATCATCGTCGTCGTCGTCGTCGCCGTCGTCGTCGGCGGCGTCGTCGTCGTCATCATGATCATCATCATGATCAAAGCCACATCATCGTCGTCATCATCATCATCCCAATCATCCTCATGCGTGTCATCACCACCATCGTCATCATCATCATCGTCGTCTTTGTTATCCTCCTCCTCCTCATCATCATCATCGTCATCATCCCAGTCGCCATCATCGTTGCCCTCGTCGATCCTCGTCGTCCTGGTAGGCCGCCTTGGGCTATCTTGGGCAGTCTTGGGTTGGACTGTTTTCTTTCTTGGGCCGCCTTGGGCCGTCTTGGGTTACGCCGTTTTCTTGGGCCGGCTTGGGTTAGGGGTGATGGCGGTGACGATGGCCCCGCTCACTTGCAATAGCAAGTGCAGGAGGCGGAGGAGGAGGAGGAGGAGAAGGCAGGGGAGAAAGCGGAGGAGGAGTAGCGGGATCAGGCTGAGGAGGAGCAGGAGGGGGAGGACAAATAAGATGAGGAGGGTGAGGATGAGGCTAGAAGGAGGACGTGGAGAAGGAGGGCGGGTCGGGCAATTAATGAACAGACGATGGTCATGAGGACGCATGTGATGGGGGTCTCTTCGCCGACGACGTGCCCCCCGCCGATGCGAGCGCCAAGAAAACGAAGAAATTGCACCTGAAGGACTCGAAGGCGCCTCTGGGCGTGTGGCTCTGTAGGCAGCAACTTCGGGACCGTAAAGCAACGGGCACATGTGCGTACGCGATCGTGGGTAAGTAGTGAGCGAGGGGCCGGACCGACGAGAGTCGCGCGGGTAGCCCGTGGGATGGCGGCTGCTCGATGCTCCGCGGTGAGCGACGCAAACGTGTGCAGTGGTTGGGAGAGGCCTTGCGGCCGGTGCCGCCGACCCTGAATGACGACGACGACGACGGCGGGGGCGACGACGACGACGACGACGACGACTCCGACGACGACTCAGACTCCGACCCCAATGCTGCCGACGCCGACTCCGACTACTCTGATTCCGACGACGACGCCGATGACGACGACGACGGTTCCGAAGACGACGACGACGACGACGATAATTCTGACTCCGACTCCGATTCTGACGACTCCGCCTCAACTCCTCCAGCTCCGACGACGACGACTCCGACGACACGACGCCCACGACTCGAACTCCGACGACTCCAACGACTCCGACGACTCCGACTCCGACGACGCCGGCTCCGACGACGACGACGACGACGACGACGATGCCGACGACGACGACGACTGCGAGGCGTCCCTCCTCGTCTCACGAGTAGTGGCGGGCGCCGGCGAACGGAGGGCGCCCGAGGAGGAGGAGGAGGAGGAGGGGGAGGAGGAGGGCTCGCCCCCGACAAGCATCAGCAGGAAGAGGTGTCCCAGAAATGCCCACATCACTATCGGAATTATTCATCCTGTCTTGTGTCCGAAAACCCGCGCCCAGGTAATTGGTTGCTGGGGGGGAGGTGGAGGAGAAGGAGGAGGACGAGAGGGTGAAGGAGGAGGAGGAGGAGGAGGAGGAGGAGGATGGGGGGTGATGAGGAGGGCGAGCAGGATGAGAAGGAGGAGGAGAAAGAGAAAGAGAAGGGGGATGAAAGTCGACTCGGGCCTCCGTAGTCCTGTCCGACAGTAGTGGAGGCGGGGAGGACGCCTCGTCGTCGTCGTCGTCGTCGTCGTCGTCGTCGTCGTCGTCCTCGGCGTTGTCGTCGTCGTCGTCGTCGGCCTCGGCGTCGTCGTCGTCGTCGTCGTACTCGTCGTCGTCGTCGTCGTCGTCGTCGTCGTCGTCGTCGGCGACCCCGCCCGCAGCAGGCCCGCCGCCTCGTCGCCAGGGGGCGGCGTCGCCAGGTGCCCGCGGTGGCCGCCGTCGCGGGCGGCGGCGGCCGCCGCCAGCCGCGGCGGGGAGGAGAAGGGCGAGCGGACGGGGCCGCGGAGGGGGGGCGTCGTTGAGGAGGAGCCGATGTTTTTCATCGATTTCGGAATCATATGGATGCCTTTTTTTCGGGTCCCGGGGCCGCCCCCATCAAACGCATCCGGCGGGCTGGAGCACCAGCCCGGATGGACCCCTGGAAGGAGAGTAGAAAAAAAGGAGGATGAGGATGATGAGTGAGGATGTGAAGGAGGAAGAGGCGATGAGACGAAAGAAGAGGAGGATGAGGAAACGAGGAAGAACAGTACAACGAAGAAGGGGAGAATGATGAGACGAGAAAGGTGAGGAGACGAAGATGACGAGGAAGATGGTGCTGCTGATGTCGATGATGACGACGGTGATGGTGACAATGATGATACTGATGATGATGACGGCGATGATGATGATGATGATGCCCTGGTGATGATGGCGATGATGGTGGCGTCTTGGTGATGATGACGAGGATGATGATGATGCAGGGCCGAACTACAATCGCCATGGTGAATATGAACAACATGACGTCGATGATGATTGAGGTGATGCTGATGATGCCGAATATGATTGTGATGATGCTGATGATGATGGTGATGATGCTGATGATGATGGTGATGATGTTGGTGATGACTATCAGATGGTGATGATGCTGGTGATGACTATCAGATGGTGATGGTGGTGATGATGATGGTGGTGGTGATGATGCTGATCATGATGCTGATGCTGATGATGATGCTGATGATGATGATGATGGTGATGATGGTGATCGTCCCGACCCTCCTTCTCCCCTTCCTCCTCCTCCTTTTCTATATGAAGCGGACGACGAGTAACCCTGGTAGGCTTAAGGCCAGGCCAGCCGGGGCAGGCCCAGCAGGCTCCTCGGGAGGCCAGAGAGGCCCTCCACGCCTCCCGAGCAGGCCCGCCCCCCCCTCCCGCTCCTCGCCCCCCCTCCGCTCGCCGCCGGCAGGTATCAGGAGGGGAAGAAACACACAGACACAATTCATCGTCGATTCCCTTTGGAAAAAATTGAAAAATGTGGGATGTGGGGGGGAAGACAGAAACCCAGAATATATAGGAAAATCTGTGGAATCCCTTCATTTGTGTATATATTTATTTGTGTGTCCCAGGGCCCCCTTCGAGGTACCTCTCCTGCGTCGGCGTGGTGCTGGGCGTGCTGACGCTGCGGGCCCCGGACGGCAGGCGGCCGGCCGCGCCGGGCTCCGCGGCCTCGGGGGGGCTCCCGGCGGCCTTCGCCGAAGGAGCCAAGAAGGGCGCGCGCCGCCATGGGGGAGGCGGGTCCCTCTAGGGAAGCGGGTCCTGAGGAATCTCGCCGCGTTCCGGCTCTTCGGCGCCCCTTCCGGGCCCCAGGACTGTCAGAGAAAGCTACTCGGGGTGAAGATCTCGTGCTGGGGGAAGGCCCTATAGGGTCCAGGACCCGTTTCCCTCAGGACCATCTTCCTTCGTGCTGAACACGGTAGGTTCGCGTCCCGTCGACCGGCGGCGACCCCGCCCCCGGCATCCAAGGTTGGACGCCGCCGGCGACGCAGAGTCGGTCGACGTTGAACGACCTGATGGTTCGGAATTTTTACGGCCGATGGTTCAAAGTTTGAGCGAGCCCCGCGGTGTCAGGAACCAAGGCCGGGGCCGGCACGGCACGAGCCTGCCGTCAACATATATGCATCGGAGGTCCGTCAGAACTTCTTCGTTCGGCGCTGGGCCACCGCCCTGGCGCGCGGAGCGCGCCAGGGGTGGCGCCCGGGGCGGCGACAGGGGTCTCCTGCGCAGATCCAGGAATGCCACTGAGGCCTCCGAGAGTTTGTGCTCATGCATTTTTTTGTTCCTCTATTCGGAGGGCTCTCCGCAGCTTTCGAGCGCACCCCCAGAGGCTCTCACGAGGGGCGAGCACAGTGCCCGACCACCGCGCACGGGTGCTTCTCGGGGGGGGGCGAGCCAAGAAGTGCCATCCGTGTTTTTGTTGGTAGCTTTCGAGGTATGGAGGGCCGTGTTCGTGCCCCTGGACCGTCAGGAATCGACCCCCTCACCTTGCGGCCCTGACTGTCCCCATAGATCCAAGCCCTGGAGCCCTTGCCCCGCGTCAGCCTGCTCGAGATTGGACCGGTGCAGATTCAAAGCTCAACGTAAGAAGCCAGCTCGTTTGATGGTTTGCCGTGTGGAGGTCGACGATCTCCCAAACTTGTGCAGGAGGTGTCGCGGTCGGAACGGCGTTTGCTCTTTTTCAGGAGGGAAAGAAACACACAGACACAAAATATGGGAAGTGGGGGGGAAGACAAAAACCCAGAAAATATGAAAATATGGGGCATCCTTTTATTTGTGTGTATTTATTTGTGTGTCCCAGGGCCCCTTGACTTTCTCGGGGCGCCCCCGCCTCCACATCGAAGGGAGCTCCGGCGCTCGGCCCTGTGCCGCTTATCCGCCCGGGCTCGCGCCAGTCTTGTTCGGGCCTTGGTGGCCTCTAGCGTCGCTGCTTCTGGGTGCAATGAGCTCCCCCCAACCCAATCCTGGTGAACTCCCGAATTCGGGGAGCTCGGGGAGAAGCGATAGTAGCGCCTTTACCTTGTAGCCTCTGGCCTCGACGTTTCGAGGCTTTCGTCAGATCGTGCCCCTGTAATGAGAGAAAGGCGTCGCGCTATGTGTTCTTGAACGGTTTGAGCTTGAGTTTGTTTGAGCTCTGTGATGTCTCCACTTGCACCAACTTCAAATGTTCCAAAGGTTCACATCGGAATGCCCAGTCTCTCACCTTGCACTCCTCTCCCTCGTTCCATAGCCTGTCTTCGGCTGCCATAGCCTGTCTTCGGCTCCCACTCTTCCGCCTTGGGAGGACTGAATGTACATTGACTTTAACGTCTGGCCTAGACGTTTCAAAGGCTTAGTTTCATCACGTCCTTGCAATGAGAAAAAATGGCGTGGCTTCATATTTTCTCGAACGGGTTGAGCGTCAGTTGTTTGCACGCTGTGATGTCTCCAAGTGTACCACCTGCACATGACCCAAGGGTTGAAACATCGGACTGCCCATGCTCTCACCCTGCTCTCCTCTCCCACCTTCCCTAGTCTGTCTTCGGCTCCCACGCTCCCACCCTGGGGCCTGGGAGGAGTGATAGTTGTGCATGTACTTCCTAACCTCTGGCCTAAACGGTTCGAGGATTCCGTCAGGTCATGTCACTGCAATGAGAAACGAGGCGTGGCTCAAAACCTTCCTCCTCCCTCCTCCCCTGGCCCCGCAGCAGATTCCAAAGAGGGCAGGGAGTGCCTGCATCACCCCTCCCCCTTCAGTTGCTCCTCATCCTCACCCGACGTCCGACGACGACACTAGCGACACCGACGGCACCGACGGCACCGACGGCACCGACGGCGACGGCGGCGACGACGACGACGACGACGGCGGCGGCGACGACGACGACGACGACGACGACGACGCGCGCGCCCTGTCGCAGCGCCGAGGGAGACGCCGCCCATCCCGCCCTCCCTGCACTGCGTGCTGCTGCTGGCTGGTCCGCCCCGGGGATTGGCGGGCCCGCCTCTGCCCCGGGGGCCGCCCTCGCCCTCCTCCTCCTCCTCCTCCTCCTCCTCCTCCTCCTCCTCCTCCTCCTCCTCCTCCTCCGCAAGGGACGGAGGAGGAGGAGGAGGAGGAGGAGGAGGAGGAGGAGGAGGAGGAGGAGGTCTGGGCGTTTTTTTTGTTCGCGACGGGCGGCTTCGCCCTGCTTTGGGCCCCAGGACCTTTGCGGATCGATCCGGCTCGAGGCGTGCCGCGGAGGGTTCCGCTTGGGCTTCCCCCCACATGCTGCGCGTTTTGCTCCTCCGGTTGACCAGGCGTCCTCTTTTTGATTCTCATGCTCGCCAGCCTTCGGCTGCCACGCGCCCAATCCAGCACCATAGAGGTGCGGCCAGGCCTCCGCCGCGCCCGCGTGCCCGCAGCACGTGCCGCGCCACCCTGCCCGCGCGGCAGTCGGTGTGGCGACCCTTTCGAGGGGCGCCCAAGGCCTCAGCCCGTTTTCATCTTTTTGGGCCTCCTTGGAGACCCTCGTCACCACCGCTGGATTCACCTCGAAATTCGTCGGTGTGGCGGCCCTTCAGAGGGGCGCCCGGATGGCTTCAGCCCGTCTTCCTTTTTTTCGGCCTCCTGGGAGGCCCTCGTGGCCACTGCTGGATTCGCCTCGATATTCTCGCAAGAGCGCACCCCGGGAGAGGTCCGGGAAGTGGCGGCATGTACCAGGGATGCCTCAGCGTGTGACAGCCCCTGTCCCCAGACTCTTCCAGGCCGTGCCTCGCCGGGACGGCGCTTCATCCTTGCGTGTATAGCCGAGGTATAGGTTCTCGACCCCTTCGCCAGGGCCTCTCCCAAGCGCTCCCAGGCGCTTCCCAAGCGTCCCCAGGCGCTCCCAGGCGCTCAGGGCGCTCCCCAGACCGTGGGAAGGTCTACACCCTGGCGGCGGACAGGAGCGCCCACGCGAGCAAAGCCCTTGCAGCTTCGGGGCTCCTCCAGTCTTCGCGAGCGCAGCACGGGCGTCGGCCTGAGTTACTCGTGGGCTCGACTACAACCCTCGTCAAAATCAACCTCAAAAATGTCTGACGTGGTTGAACTGCTTGTCCGAAGATCTGGGGCCGAGTATCGATGAGTGCGGGGTACTTGCATACGCCGCCCCTCCAATGTCGGTCGACGTCAAACTTTCGAGTCAACTTCGGTCAGACTATCTTTGCCCTCGCCCCGACATTGAAGGGGCGGCGTGTCGACATTGAGGGGCGCGCCGAAATCGAAAGGACGTGCCAGCAACTGTTGAGGTTAATTTTGACGAGGGTAGTAGTTTTTTCCGGCGGAACTCTGGGGGAGTGACCGGGTTGCCCAGCGTCGGCCCGCGGAGGCCAGGCGATGTGAACAGAGCGTTCGGGCTCAAAAGAAAAAAACGACGGCGCCAGAGGCTTGGCATCGCTCGGACGTGTGCATTTTTCTTTCGGCGAGGACCATCGAGGAGCATCCTCGATCATTTGGCGAAAAAACCACGCACGAAACCGACAAAAAAACAGGAAATGGACGTCCGAGCGATGGCCAGGAGGTCGTCTGTCCCGGAGTCCTCCTTCGGCCGTCCTCCGGAGGGAGGCTGCCCCAGTGGCCCCCCTGAGGGCCTCCAGGAGTTGACAGGTGTCGGAGAACAAACACGGTGGGGGCGTTCGTGAGGGAATGTGCCCAGGAGGCTCCAGACCCTGGAGGATTCCTTCTCTGAAGAGGGCGGCGGTGATATCCATGGCCAATCCGCGATTGGCGTTGCACTGGCTGCCAGACCTTGGATTTCTTATCCAATGGTTCCTTAAGTATCAAATGCCCTGCGCAGCGGTGTGATGAGTGCCACGCGCTGCAGGCGTCGGCAAGCCGCATGTGAGCGTCGAGGAGAGCGCGTGGACAGGCGGGACGGTGACGACCTGCTGAGAGCGCAAGGGCCACCAGCGAGGGCGAGCGCAAGAACACGCGGGGCAGTGGCGACCCGCGGAAAGCGCAAGGGCCACCAGAGATGATTTCCTCCATGCGTGCAAGTCCGCGGACGCGGGGAGAGAAATCAGCACATGCCCTGCGCAGATCCAAGAAATCCGCGCGGAGCGTCGAGAAGTTGCGTCTGCGCCGTTACTGTCCTTCCCTAAAATGGGCAGACAGCGTGCAAGTCCTCGAATGCGGGGAGATAAAACAGCACATGCCCTGCGCAACTCCAAGAAATCCGCGCGGAGCGTCGAGAGGTTGCGTCTCTGCGCCGTTGCTGTCTTCCCCTACAAATGGGCAGTCAGCGCCCCTAAGCCTGGACTCTCCAGTCTCCCCGCTTTCGGAGCACTGCAGCTTCGCGCCGCGCTGACGAGGCGGCGACCCCAGCGCTGGCCTTCCAGGTACTCCAGATTTCGTAATAAAAGGGAGGGGGTCTCATTTCGGGGGGGGGTCTCTTCCAGGCTATCTTGGAGGGCCTAGGGGGGTCTGGGGACGATGTTTTGGAGGGTTCTCCCACGGGGGGGGTCTGAAATGGCTTGTCTTGGAGGGTCCAGACCCCCTCTCTTTTATTACGAAATCCGGAGTACCCCAGCGCTGGCCTTCCAGGTAGACGGCCGCCAGTGGATCAGACTCGGATCGTGCAGGGCTGAACTCTCCTTTTTGTGGTCGCGGCCGCGAGCGAAGGCGCAGGCGGCGGCGGGTCGGGAAGTCCGGGGCGCGGTCATCACTCATCTACGGCGAGCAGCAAACTAGAGCGCGGGGTCAAACCGAAGCTGCCCATGCCGCCGAGCTGCGCTGCGGTGAGCTGGGGGCGCCAGGGCCAGGGCCAGGGCTGGGGACGGAACTCTCCCGCGCAGCGTCGGGAGCCGGCGCGCGAGTCGCCAAGGCACGGACCAGCCTTGCAGCCCAGAGGCCGAAACATGCAACACTCTGGGCTCAGGGGGGGCTCTATTCTGCCGGTCGCTCCGGAGCTCCAGGTCGGCCGGAATGTGCTCGTGGCCGAGGCTCGCCGAGGCTTGAAGAGCCCCACCCGTTCTTTATGCGTGGCGCCCCTGGTCGTAGCGTGATATCACCGTGCCGTCGATGCCGGGCTGGGAAGGGCAGACCCCCAGCGTCATGATTTGTTCCTCACGTCGCCCCCTGGAGGTCTCGACCCATTCCCTGGGACCGGTTTGTCATCCTGGGGCATGTGTTGACGCTCCCCCCCCGAATGCCGGCGGCGCCCCCCGGAGTCCGAGAACGACGCAACATCGTCCGTCGTGATCTTTTCGTGACCCGAGAGCTTCAGAGCGTGGATTACCTACCCCGCTTTCGCTTCCAGGCAAAACCAAGTCATACCACGCGCCGCCTCGTCAAGCGGCCTGACCAGTACGGGCCGTAGTTTGGCATCGCTTGTTATCTCTTGGAAGCGAGGGTGGTCAAAAGCGATGTAGGTTTGTTTGCCCGCTAGAGCTGGCCCGGAAGGTCAGTACTTCATGATCTACTTGTGCCTCTTCCTCTCCCAGGCGCTGCTGCTCAGCAGCCCGCGGGCCTGCGCCTCCCCCCATGACCGCTGCACCGCGCCCCCCCTGTCAGGAGGGGAAAAAACACGCGCAGAAACAGTCCATCGTCGCTTCACCAGAAGATGTTGGAAAAGATGGGAAGTGGGGGGGAGAAGACAGAGGCCCAGAAAATATAGGGCATCTGGTTATTTGCGTCTGTTCATTTAATCGCTTCGCTCATTCCGCTGGCCCTGGAGCGCTATTTGGGGCCTCTCGGGGCCGTCTTGGGGGCTTCTTGGGGCTCCCCAGGGGCCGCCCCCCGCGCGCGCGCGCGAACTAGACATATTGTGAAGTAGTTACCGGAGATCTTAGCACGCCTCTGGCCCGTTGGGCCAGCGAATTTGCGTCTGTTTATTTGTGTGTCCCAGTTCCCCCTTCACCCCCCCGGCCGCCCGCCGCTGCCGCCCTCGGCGCGCCGGGCGCTCGCTCGCTGCCGCGCCGCGGGCCGCCCCGAGGGCCGCCGAGAGGCGAGGCCCCGCCGCCTGCCGAGAGGGCCCGCCCCGCGCGCTTTCCCCGCCGGCCCGCTACCGCCGAGGGTCGGCGTGCTCGTGCATGGTTTCCTGGGCAGCTTGCCTGGACGTGTTTTAATTTGGTGTTTATGTATATACACATATGTACACCGTTTTTTTTGAATCTAATATATATATAGAGAGAGAGAGAGAGAGATTCCTCTTCCTATATTTTTGCAAGCCGGGGGGGGGGGGGGGGAAAAACGAACCCCCCCAAAAAAAAATGGACCCCGGGATCTGGGGTTCTCGGGCTCCCTTGGGCGTCCTTGGAAAAGGTCACCCGGCTTTCCGGGTCTCCACAAACGCCTTGCCAGCAGACCCAGAGCGATCCGAGGGGTCATCAGAAAGGCTCAAGGGCGGCCCCAGACAGCACAAGAGCGCTCCAAGTGGGACTCCAATTGCGTCAGGACGGCCCAAAAGACCCCCAAGGCACCCCAAAAAGCTTTGCAGGGGGCCTTCGAAGCACAGAAATCGTCCCGTTCCCCTCGTAAAACTTACAATTTCAGCATATTCGCCTTTCGGATTTCATCAGCTTTCAAGACGGTTTCAAAGCCCCCGAGATCGCCTCCAGACGCCCCAAAAGGCCCCCAAGAAAGCTTCAAGACGGCCGAGCCGGGCCCCACGATCGCCCACGAGAGCCCCAAGACAGCCCATAATGGAACCAAGAGGCCCCCCAAGGGCTCCCAGCACAGACCCAAAAGGGCCATGGGAGGTCCCCGGAAGTGCCCAAGATGGGTCCAAAGGGGGCCCCAGCGGGCCCAAGCTCCCCAAGACGGCCCAAGAAGGCCCCAGGACGGCCCATGAAGGCGCCAAAACGGCCCACGAGGGCCCTTGTTTCCGAATGCCAACATAAAGACCCCCAAGGCACCCCAAAAAGCTTTCCAAGCCTTCCATCGGTAAAACTTTCATCATCAGCTTTCAAGACGGTTTCAAAGCCCCCGAGATCGCCTCCAGACGCCCCAAAAGGCCCCCAAGAAAGCTTCAAGACGGCCGAGCCGGGCCCCACGAACGCCCACGAGAGCCCCAAGACAGCCCATAATGGAACCAAGAGGCCCGCCAAGGGCTCCCAGCACAGACCCAAAAGGGCCATGGGAGGTCCCCGGAAGTGCCCAAGATGGGTCCAAAGGGGGCCCCAGCGGGCCCAAGCTCCCCAAGACGGCCCAAGAAGGCCCCAGGACGGCTCATGAAGGCGCCAAGAGCCCACGAGGGCCCCGAAAACACCCCCACGATGTTTCCGAATGCCAACATTCATTGCTTTTGCTCCCAGGACATTTCACATTGTGACCCAGTCGTTGAGGGTCTCGTGGCATGCTGCCGGTCGCCTGGGGGAGGGTGTTTATTGATAGGGAACAATGATAAGCCGCTCCCCGAAGGGGAGGAGGCGGGTTGGAAGAAGAAGCGCCCTAAACCGCTCACTCCCAGAGGGTTGGTGGGATTTCTCCAGCCACCATGGTCAGTGTGGGTCCAGGGCCCCGGAGCGTGGCAGTGCCGCCCGTCGTGCTGCTGCTGCTTCTGTTCGGCGACGCCCGCGCGTAACGGAGAGGCGCGCGCACTCATGGCCGAAATGTTGGAGCCGACCGTGCAGGTCTCCCCCTCCTCCTCCATCCATCCATCCATCCATCCATCCATCCATCCATCCATCCATCCATCCATCCATCCCCCTCCCTCCTTCTCCCAGCCGTCAGCCTGCCAGGCCGCGGGGGGCCAAGAGGACAGGGAGTGAGGCCGTCGGCCCACGGCCCGCGCGGGCGCTGCGCGAGCGGGCGTGCCGAACCGCTCGGCACCCGCACCTGCGCTTGGGCACTGGTGTTCAACCCCTCCTCCCCCCCCTCTTTTCTCCTCGTCCTCCACCTTCTCTTCTCCCCTCCCCCCCCCCCTCCTTCCCTCCATGTCTCCCTCCCTCCCTCCCTCCCTCCCTCCCTCCTCCCCTCCCTCCCCTCCCCTCCCTCCCTCCTCCTTTTCCTCCTCCTCTCCTCCTCTCCTCTCCTCCATAGGATCGGCGGCGCGCACCAAGGGGGCCCTGGCGAGACGGGAGGGGGCCGTCCTTCCCGGAGCGCCCGGTGCCCTCCCTGCGCTCCGCCAGCACAGGTGGCGGCCTCCGCCGTGTTCTCCCTCGGCCTCCTGGACGTGAGGCCCACCCGGCCCGGGATGGTGTGCCGCGCGCGCCGTTGGCCTCACCTCGACCGTCCAGGTTCTCCGTGCGCCCTTGCGTCCTGTGCCGTTCTCCCCTCTTATGGGCTATTGGCGGAGGAGGAGGGCGAGGAGGAGGAGGAGGAGCAGGGGGAGGAGGAGGAGGAGGAGGAGGAGGAGGAGGAGGAGGAGGAGGAGGAGGAAGAGGAGGAGGAGGAGGAGGAGGAGGAGTGCCAGACCTCCGCCGTCCGAAGCTTCCGCGCAGCAGGGGCCGTTGGGGCACATGCCGCCTGGAAGGTGCGGGAGGCCGTAACCCGGGGAGGGAGATGAGAAGGGGAGATGGCGGACCCGATGGGGTGGAGAAGCAGGAGGAGGAAAGGGAGGAGGAGGAGGAGGAGGAGGAGGAGGAGGAGGAGGAGGAGGAGGAGGAGGAGGAGGAGGAGAGGAGCGAGGAGGAGGAGAGGAGCGAGGAATGAGACGAGGAAAGAACAGCATGTGGGATGGGATAGGTGAAGGGCGGAAGCGGAGGGGTGGAGAGGGGCGGAGGAAGCGAGGTGGGGCCAGCCAGAGCACATTGGGCCACCATGCCTATGCGGTGTGTCTTGTCTAGCAGTTGGGCTATCAGGCTCACTCGCGTGCTGTCCCCACGGTGAAGTTCTCTCCGCCCGGTCGAAGTCGACCGTTGTACCCACGTGCTGCCCTCGGGGCTTGTGCGATCACTGTCCTCCCATGTTCCTTTGGTTCTTCCTCGTCCTATAGGAGCGTGACGCGGAGAGCGCTGTCCCCCTCTGGAGAAAATCGCCCTCGTCAGACCAACCCAGTCGAGAAACTAGATGGCAATGACCATGTCCACGAACAGTCATCCTACATATGTATCAACTGCGCAGTGTTATAGCTGGGTGTGCGCTTGCATGTTCAACGCGGTCTGCCCGATACTTGGGGCAGCAGTGGTCGTTATCTTGCTAGACTTGTACGTCACAGCATTCGGTGTACATTTCCCGATGCCAGACCATTTTGTGAACCTGTGGCCAGTTTTCAGAAGTTCTGTCGGTCAAAAATAGAACGGTGTGGCCACAACGAAGTTGTTGTAAGTTGTTGGCCGCCGTTGCCCAGATTTCGCTCGCGTCCAGCAAGGCCGATAAGATATGCGCGACGACGCTGGCACTGATGTCGGCCGAAAGATGTCGTATCCCGTTGCATCCAAAGACAAGTGTCACCACCAACGCCTGGATTCCCAGAGGATCTCCCGCACCCCTCTCGTGGGAAGGGGGTGGAAGCGGGAGAAGTGGAGGAGAGGGAGAAGAGGCTTCGGAGTCTAATCATCCCTGTAGTGCCAGCTGCCTTGGCTGAGTTCCATTTCGTTCACGCGCGGTGATGCATGCACTCGCTGGAAAAACTGCGACACCTCATGCCCCTCTTGCCGTGCGCAGCAACAGTGGACGAATAGGCTCTTCATCTTCCTCCCTGGGAGGCAGTAGGTGAGCTGCGAGCGACCGGGCATGCCCCCAGGCAGCGCAACGAGATCGTCCGGTCAGTGCGGACGTTCAGGCCCTCCTTTCGATTTGGCGCCTTAGCTTTTCTGGATGTCAGAGGAATGCCATATCCATGAGATGAGCTTACGACGTATAAGCATGGTCTGTGGGTGAGGGCAGCGTGTGTGGGCGGGTGCATGTCCAGCTCGTGGGGCAGCATGCCTGTGCAAGTGTGCCGGAGGGTTCCAAAGGGTTTTATTGGGGGGAGGTTTTTTTCAGAGAGCCCCCCAGGGGCCTCGGAATCTTGTCAAAACAGGGGTTGCGAAGCCCCTGCGGGACCCCCTCCTGGAAAACCACCTCCCCAAAAACCCTGGAGGAGGAGGAGGAGGAGGAAGAGGAGGAGGAGGAGGAGGGGGGGGGGGGGGAGGAGGAAGGGGGAAGGGAGGAGGAGGAGGAAGAGGAGGAGTATTGAGGAGGAGGAAGAGGAGGAGGAGGAGGAGGAGGAGGAGGGAGGGTGTGTGCCACGAGCAGTGCAGCGCAGGGGCGCGTCGGGTGGGCCATGACGGCCATCGGGCTCCAGCCGTCTTCGCATCTCGCCGTCCCCGGGCCCGCCTCGCCCCGCCCTGGGGACCTCCTCTTCGCCCCAGAGGCCCCAGATTCATGTGCTGCAGTGCTCGGGGGCGGCAAAGAGGGGGGTGATGACTGGGGGTGTGTGGATAGCATGGCGTGCGCCATGGTGTTGCCCCAGACTTCATGGCGCCTCTGCTTGTTTCGTTGCGTACCTGGCCCCCCCGCTGGGCCCGCCGGTCATGATTTGTACCCGCCCCTCTTGGACACCCCCCTCTTGGCCGCTCCCAAAGTGCTTGCCACAGGGCGTTCTCGTCCGACTTCGGGCCCCGGGGCCCTCACAGATCGATCCAGCCCCAGAAATGGCGCAGACAGATGGGGTCCAGGGCTGCAGCGGTGATATTTTGAGATGTTGCATCTGTGTGGGAGCGTCAGGTCTGGGGGGCGGGTCCGTTCCACGGCCAAGAGCACTCCAAGCCCGTGGTGCTCGAACGTCAATGGTTCTCCCTCGTCCTCCCCCTTCTGATGAGCACTGGCAGATTCACTATCAGATGCCAGTCCTTGACGTTCCGTCCCCGTCCAGTGCACCTTCGGCACCGGGTCTCCGAGTTCCGGAGGAGCCCACTTCACCGGCGTCTTGAACCTCCCTCACCTCGGGTCGGGCGCAAGGGGGGAATGGGAAGAAGGGGCCGTTGCGAAATCTGCTGCGCGCAGCTCGCCGCCGGGCGTGTTCCTCGATATGCTGGCGCCTTTGGCGCCGGCGCTGGGAGGAGACGCAAGACCCATCTACGTGAGCTGATTCGCTCACTCCCCGTAACTGAATTCCCCCCTTTTGTCCGATCTGATTCTCCCCTGCACCCTCCCCCGCCTCCTCCAGATTTGTTTCGACGAGGTCACGTCTGAGAAAGGCGTCCTACCACGCTGGGGGGGCCTGGTCGAGTGAGAGGTCGTTCACTCCACCGTCTCGACACCCATCTTTTCACTCCACCTGCCCACCCTTCCTTTCGCGCCCCCCAGACGCCAGATCCTCGTCGGCGTCTGTCGCCATCGTCGGCGTCGTCGTCGTGGTCGTCGTCCGATCGATGGCCTCCCCCACCGCGGCGGAGGAGGAGGAGGGCGGAGGAGGGGAGAGGAGGAAGGCCCACAGCCTCCCAGGGCATCCTGAGCGGAGAAACCCGCAGAGAACCCGCGAGGGCAGCCCGAGAGGCCCTCCCGCTTGTCCTTCCTCGTCTGCCTCCACCTCCTGCCACGCGCGTTCCTCTTCCTCGTCCCTTTGTTACTCCCGCCTCCTCCTTTCTGCGCATCCTCACATTGCTTTTCCTCATGCTCCCCCTCACCCCGCTTCTGACGACCCACGACGACGGTGACGATGACGACGACCGTCATCGTCGTCGTCGTCGTCGGCGTCATCCTCGTCGTCGTCGTCGTCGTCGTCGTCGTCGTCGTCCGCCCAAGTCGCGGCTAGCCAGATTGGCCAAGTGCTGCGCGAAGCTCCGACCGCCGTCGTCCTTCCGAGCTGCCTTCTGGGACAATCCGAACCCCAATCGGGGGTCTTGACCTTTTATCCCAGCCACTCCTGGCCGAGACGGCGCCGCCCCTTCTCTGCGAGACGAGCGTGACGGCTTTCGGGCGGGAACTTCTGTATGGCGTATCGCTCCGCCTGTTCAGGCCCACCACGCCTCGGAGCGACACGGGATTCACTCTCGGGTCCCCGAACGTCTACGTCCCGAGCCTTTCCGTGCCTCTCGTCGCAAGGCATAGCGCGTCGCCAGGGCCGCCGGGGCGACACGCTGTCCAAAAGTTCCCGGCCGTAGATCAGTCGCAGTCCTCGTCCTCGTCCTCGTCGCCGCCGTCGTCGTCGCCCCGCTCGCGGCTACTCCCGACCAGCATGGCCGAGTGCACCGCGAAGCTCTGCCCGATGCTGGCCATCTTGTTCATCGGCGCTAGGCAGGCATCCCTCGAGAGATCGTCCCTGGCCGTCGTCGTCCTCCTCACCCTCCTTGTCCTCCTCCTCCCCCTCTCGAGGAATCCCTCCCCACCCAGAAGTCTAGACATGGCTGGCGGCGTCTAGACATCGACGGCGAATGCTCGACGCAGGGGCCACGCGTTACCGAGCGCCCGCTCGCCAGCTACTCTGGGACCCTGGGGAAAGTGGCGACACCATGGGCATGGTGCGAGTCCACTTGGAGAGGTTAGGCCAGGAGAGCGGAGGGCTGTGGCGCCGACTGACGCTCGAAAGTATTATCTGGAAGCTCTGCAAGCATCGACGCGCGCATGCGTGCACGAGCGTCGGTGCAACTTCCGCGCCCAACTTCCGATCCGGCCCCTCATGCGCTGCAGCCTAACTTTCGGCTCCCCGGGATCCTCGAGGCTCGCTGCTGTTGGAGGTGCCTCCCGCACGGGCCTCCACAGGCCCCCGGTGCAGCCACGAGCAGTCGAGAGAGGCCCCGCCCGTCGCTGGAGTCAGCCACCTTGGCTCAGGGGTAGCGCCAGATGGGGATCGGATCGGGGCGGGATGCGTCGGCCCCCAGCAGCACATTCATCGCCGGCAGGGGCCGAGGGCCCACCCAGGGCCGTGCGGATGAGCTGTCGGAGGCTCATCGCCGATCCATCGGCGATGGATCGCCGAGTCCAGGTCGGTGTTGCCCCGCCTGTGCCAGTCCCCCCTTTCATCGATGCCCCCCAAAGAGGTGCCCTTTCACGCGGATCCCATTTCAGGCCGCACACGTGCTTGCCGATCCGGGGCGGGCAAAGGCCGTGGCGTTCACCGTCTTCTCCTCCTCCTGCCCTTCCTCGTGGCGCCCCTGGGAGGCCCGCCAGGCCCCGGCTGCCTTCTGGTTGGAGGGCGTTTGTCGTTTAGATTATGACAACATTTGTTTCACCTGGGGCGGGCCTTTCCGATTCCAGCTCCCACCCCATCTCTCCGACTCCGGCTTTCCCGACCCCGGCTCCCAGGGTCCGACTCCAGTTTCTGAGCGGCCAGCCCATTCCGGCGCCCCGGCGCCCTCCCGCCGCACCCTCGTAGGTGCCTCGACGCGGGCTCTTGCTCTTGCCCCTGCTTAGAGCAGGATGGGTGGGGGGTGCGAGGCCCGAAAAGAAACCTGGACGTCGTGCACGTCGGGAATCCATTGCACGCCTTTTCGGGCCAGCGGTGCTCGAAAACACGGCGGAGGGCGGGGGTCGTCCTCCTCCTCCTCCTCCTCCTCCTCCTCCTCCTCCTCCTCCTCCTCCTCCTCCCTCCTCCTTCTCCTCCTCCTCCTCCTCCTCCAGCATCCGACTCTCCACTTCCACATCCGCCTATCGACCTCCAGCGTTCACCAGCTCAAGATTACGACCTCCAGCCTCTAGCATCCGACTCTTCACTTCACCTCCACCGATCGACCTCCCAACCTCCATCAGCTCAACATTACGACCTCCAACCTCTAGCGTCCGACTTTCCACGTCCACCTCCACCCATCGACCTCCAGCGTCCATCAGCTCAGCACTCCGACCACCAACGTCTAGCATCCGACTTTCGATCCACCTCCACCGATCGACCTCCAGCGTTCAACAGTCCCGCATTCCGACCTCCAGCCTATAGCATCCGACTCATCTTTCCCGCCTCTATTTATCGATTTCCGACGCCCACGTAATCAGCATTCCAAAAACCAATATTTAGCATCCGACTCTCGACCTCCACATCCACCAATCAACATCCACCCTCCACCAGCACAACATTCCGACCTCAAATGTCTAGCCTCCGACTCAGCTTATTTCTTGGGTGTATCACAGAGCGCGTATGGTTATTCGGCTGCGCGTGTATCTGCGCCCTGAGTGGTACATGAAGGATGCGTCAAAGAGCTCGGCAGAGCACAAGTGATCCTGCGCCCGTGTGCACTGGATTGGAGTTCCGAGGCGTTCAACTCGTACGTGTTTGGCTTGGGCTTCGCGGTTACAGAAAGGACGATGACATCCACAGGATTCCCCGACAGGTTCATGCCACAGACACTACGACTTCAACGAAACTACGTCATTACATCGTTCTACAACAGAGGAGTGAAACAATTGGAACATCAATTCGTGAGGTAGGGATTATCCTGAGCAAGCCTCCGACGCGCGCTGCCTCTCATGCGAGGCCATGGCCTCATCCGCCTCGCCCTTAAAGGGGCCGGGCGCATGCCCGCACAGGCGATCCGATTCGATCCGATCCTCCCTTCATCCTCCTCCCTCATTCCTCCTCCTCCTCTTCCTTCTCCTCATCCTCTTCCTTCTCCTCCTCCTCCTCTCCTCCTCCTCCTCCTCTCCTCCTCCCTTCCTCCTCCTCCTCCTCCTCCTCCTCCTCCTCCTCCTCCTCCTCCTCCTCCTCCTCCTCCTCCTCCTCCTCCTCAGGCAAGTCTGAGTCTGAGGTGAAACGAACGCCCTCCTGTGCCAGGGCCGGACACCGGCCTCCTCCGTGGTGGTGTCTGTCGCAGCGTGGCTCCCCTCGTGGCCTGGACCCGTTCCCCGGGCGGACAGGCTTCTCATCCAGAGCCGTTTTCTCACGGTGCCTACAGGCGGCTCGAGGAGTCAGGCCGGGGAGCTGTGGAATCATATAGCTCCCTCTCGTCCTGACTATGCAGTGCTCTTTGTATTGTCTGTGTTGTCTGCGTATGTCTGCATGTCTGACTGATGTACTTTTGGCTCAACCCATTTCTGTCAGTTCAGAGTTCAAAAAGAGCCGTTTTATCACGGTGCCGGGGCCTGGCGAGGCGCCCTGGAGGCCGAAGCTTTGCAAGCGCGTTCCGTTGCGATCTCGTCGGCGCGGGAAGACCAGCCGTCACGGTCTGTCGCCGTCGCCCGGATCTGACTAACCAGATCATCCGTTACCGAGCATTTCCAGCACGTCGCGCTCTGGACGAGCCTGTGGCGACCAAAATTCGGCTTCCAGCCGCGCGAATTCCGGCAACGAGCGAGCCGCCGACGTCTTCGGAACCCCTGCTCGGACCCCGACGCGCCGCCATTCCGTCACCGAAATTCTCAGCGAGCGAAGAACGGTATAAAATAAACTTTTTCGCTGTCGGGGGCGCCTGTCCCTGGGCGGCTGGAAAGTTTATACCCCTTCGGTGCCAGCGCCCCCGACAGCGAAAAAGTTAATTTTATACAGTTCTTCGCCCGTCGTTAAAATTCGACCACCCTTGGTCGCGACCGTTGCCCACAGTCTCCGGTCGCGGATGCTCCGGGCAGGAGGCCCGAGAGACAGGGGCCCGCGAGAGGGGGCGCCCGTGGCCGCGAGCAGCCCACCGGCGGCGCCCCCGGTTTGGGGGCCGCCCCGAGGGCCGGGCGCATGGAGGGCGCAGGCCCCGAGGTGCGGCGCTCCGAGAAGAGTGGGCGCGGCAGGCGTCTGGCCCTCAGTGGGCCCCAGAAACGACAGGGCCGTTTTGTTACCGGTTCCGCTTTGCCGTTTTTTTGTGCCGGTTTCGGCGCCGTTTTTGTTACCGGTTCCGTCGCCGTTTTTTGACCGGCTCCGGCTCCGGTTCCGATCCTGGAGCCGTTTTTTTGCCGCTTCCATTTTCAATAGGCATTTTTTCTGGAAACGGTGAAAAGGTCTGGCCGTGTGCGGCCTCGGGGAGGCTTCGGTGCCGGTCGGGGTGGCGGAGGTGCCGGCGTGGCTTAGTCCATTGCAGCCTGCCTCGGACTTTCAGAGGCTTCCATCGCTCCCATGTCGTCGTAAAAAACCGGCTCCGGCAGCAAATCCTGGGAGCCTTAAGTGTACCCTCGCAAGTCTGTCTTTGGCGTCGGCTGGCGTCGAGTGGCGTCTGGGAGTCGATGAGCTGGCGCCGATCTAGCGTCGTTCAGCGTCGATCAGGGTCGCTTCAGCGTCGGCTCGCGTCAATTCGGCGTCGGTTGGCGTCGATTCGCAAGAGCCGACAAAGTGTAATCATGGGATGCTCCCGCGAGTTGCCACCGAAGCCGGCCCCAGGCAAGTGGTCCAGACCTCCGGGGCCAACACATCGAGCAAGACTTGAGCGGCCAGACGTCTGGGCTCGGGCTGCATGTGCATCGGAGAACAAGGGAGAAAAAACAGTACGACCCCCATCCCCATCCTCATCCCCTTCGAGACCCCCACCAAATTGCCACCCCAGTTGGGGATACACCCTTCGAAACCCGAATGGGACGGGTTATATCCCCATCTAGGGAGGCAAATCGGCCAGTGGGGCCCAGGCCACGCCGCTGGGGATGGGGATCGGATAAACGGTGCTCAAAAAAAGGGCAGCACAAACATAATGTCTCGGAGGTCCGCGCGGATTTCTTCGATCGGCGCCGGGGCCCCCTGGCGGCGCCTTCGGCGCGGCCCCTGGCGCGCCCCGCGCACCAGGGAGGGGGTCCAGCGCCGATCGCAGAAATCCGCGCGGACGCCCGAAGTTTGGCACTGTTTGATTATCCGCCTCCCCTCCTCCTCTTCCTCATCCCTCCTCCTCTCTCCTCCTCCTCCTCCTCCTCGCGCCCCCCTCCCTCCGGGAAAGTGTGATAAGTGCTGTTTTGTTGCGTCTCCGGTGCGGTCTGTGCGCGAGGCCGCCTCCTCCCCGTCCTTGTGCCTCCACTGCCTGGGCATCCTCTCGCCGTGGAAGAATGAGCGTCAAGTCGGGCTTGCCCCTCTACAGGGGGAGTATTCAAAAATAGTCCAAAAATAGTTCGGGGACTATTTTTGTGAATACCATGTTTGAATATGTCTGGTGTATTTCTGGAGTATTTTTATTCTTTCGTCGAAAATCCCCCTGTAGGGGGACACGCCCGACTTTAAATTAGCGACGGAGGCTTGCTGACATGACCGCTGGGGTTGCTTGGCGGATGCTCGGGCCACCGCGGGTCATGAAAAAAACATGACGGGCGGTCTTTCGCTATGTTTTGCCTGTGGGGGTTCTTGCTGGCCCTCGGCGCCGTGAGCAAAATGACCTGGGACGAAAAAAGGGTCCCCAGGAATGGGTCCAGACCGCTGGGGGTCCACCTCATGAACAAAAGCATGGCGTCGGGAACCTGGGTAGGGGTATATGGGGCTCAGATGCGGATGCTGAGGTGGGTAATATTTGGCCTAAGCTAGCTTACAAGTGGGTTACAGGTGCCCTGTAGGGGGTTGGATAGCTCCGCTGAGTGGCTGAGCCTGCTTAGCCCAGATCGCTGACCCCCCTAAACCACGTAGGGCACTTGGAACCCACTTATATGCTAGGTGCGACCAGATATAACCCACCTCAGCATCCACATCTGAGCTCCTTACCACTTAGCACTCCCGGCGATCATCGCAGTGTTTGCCAATCTTCGGCATCCGGAGCCACTCACCAGGCCCTGGGACCGTCAATCAACGACTTGGGATACAAGCCGGTCCTGGGCGAGTGTTTCCAGACCTCTGGGGGGTCACGCAGCGAGAGAAATCAAGGCGGAGGGTGTCCAGGTCCTGTGCTTCAGTTGCGAGTCTGCCTCAATGAATTTGAGGAGCCTCGGCGGGCTGCAGCTGAAACGAGGGTCCAGAGCAGCCGTCGTTTTGGAGGGTACCGTTATCATACGCTAGACCCCGCGTAGGCCATGGCCGACCGAACTCCTCCTCCTCTTCATCCTCCTCCTCCTTTTCTCTCTCCCTCCCTCCCCCCCATCCTCCCCTCCCTCTTTCCCTCTTTACTTCCCCTCTCCCTAAGTACTCATATCGTCATCCTCCCTTGCTCCATCCTCTTCCCTCCTCTGCCCTGCTTCTGCCCGAAGCAAAGACGATGCGAGCAGTCCCGTGATGATCCCATCAGTCCTGAAGACCCACCTGGCCGCCTCAGTCGCCGGGAGGGCCACAAGGGGTGCGACGGACAAATGCGACGCTAGGAGGCGAGGGACAGAAGTGGACGACCAGAGAGGTGCCTTGCTCCTCAATATCCTCCTCCTCCTGCTCCTCTTCCTCCCCCCCGCGCGCACCCCCACAATTTGTTGCGTTTCGTTGTGATGTTTGGTGGTACCTATCCCTCTCTCTCTCTCTCTCTCTCTCTCTCCCCTCCCTCCGCCTTTAACGGCATCGACGCTGCTTCGTTGTGATGTTTGTTGTTTTCCATCCTTCTCTCTCTCTCTCTCTTTCCCTCCCTCCGCCTGAACAGCATCGACCTCAAGAGCTCTGGCTGCGGCAGTTTTTGTGCTGTGGGAGCTCGTGCCCATGGCAGTTCAAACACCCACGCGCTTGTTGTGTTTTTTTTTTTTTCTCTCTCTCTCTCTCTCTGGCGTCACCCCAACATATGGGGGCCCAGATAATATACACCACCACCACGTCGATTCCTCCTCTCTTCTCTGTCCAGCGAGAGGGAGGGGGGGAGGGAGGTGGTGGTGGTGTATACTTTCTGGCCCCCCCAACATGCTAGCACTGTGTGTGCGTCGCCGCCCCTCCCGTCCCCCGGGGGCGACCACCCACGCACCGAGACACCTCACGTATGGCATACCCTCGGTGGCAGGGGGCCTTCTAGTATTAAGCAGTAGAGAGAGAGAGAGAGAGAAAAAAAAATTAGTTTCTCTCTCTCTCTTGTTGTGTCTCTCTCTCTCTCTCTCTCTCTCCCTCTAGAGTTCAAATACAACATACTAGCACTATGTGTGCGTCGCCCCCCCCCCCCCCCCAGGGGGCGACCACGCACCGAGACACCTTACACGTATGGTATACCCTCGGCGGCAGGGGGCCTTCTGGCCACACCGCTCGGGAAGCGAATAACGCTACGAGGTGGTCGTGCCTCCAGGGAGGGCATGCAGTACCAGCGTGCCTCTGTGCACCCCGCCCCTCTCCCTCTCCCCTCCCTCCGCCTCCGCCTCGGCAGGTCGCCCGAGCCTTGGCTCGCCTCCTGGACCTCCCGCGCTCCTCTAGACTCTGTTGAGTATCGGGGCGCCCACGCCCCTGACGCGCGGGGGACCGCTGGCAAGCAAAATTTCGATCCCAGACCATCGACGTCATGCTTCCTTCTCAACGCGGGCCCCCTCGACCCGTTCCCCAGGGGCCCTCCTGTCGTCCCGAGCCGTTGGTGGACGGACCTGGGGCCCGGCGAGGGCCTGCAGAGGCCGAAGCTTGCACAAAAAAATTGCGGCGCGGCGTGATGAGGGGTCCTGGGCGAAACACCTCTCCGTGTCCGCGGCCTCGCGGGCCGGGCCCCTGGGCCGCGACCCCGCGGATACGGGGCGTTTTCTGTTGGCGGGTGCCCCGCGCGGAGTGTATCCGTGCGACCGTGCATCCGCGGGATCAAGGCCCGGAATCCAGACCACGAGGGCGCGGATATCGACACGTTTGCCGCCCGTGAGGGGGGGGGGCGGGGGGGCTGAGAAGCAGGGGAGACGCGTGCACCTCTCGTGCCCCCCGCAGGTCCCCAGGGGGGGGGAGGCCGTTGGGGCCCCCTTTCGGGCACAAGAGGTGTACTCCAGATTTCGTCATAAAGGGAGGGGGGTCTCATTTCGACGGCTCTCTCCTCTGGTGTAGGGTTACGAAAATCTGGAGTGCCTTTCTTCCCTCCCCCCTCGTCCTCGTCTCGCGCCCACACGAGTCACACGACGCAGTCCCTCCCGCCATGCTTTTTTTTGCCTCGGGGGGGCCGCCGTTACGACGAGGGGAGGCTGCGGGCGGTGCAGCTCCACCGGGACGGCGGCTCGCCGCAGTGCTGGGCCCAGGACCTCCCCAGGGGGCCGGGCGGGCGGGCTGGGCCGTCGGCCCGAGGCTCCCCCTCCTCCTCCTCCTCCTCCTCCTCCTCCTCCTCCTCCTCCTCCTCCTCCTCCTCCTCCTCCTCCTCCTCCTCCTCCTCCTCCTCCTCCTCCCCCCTCCCCCTCCCCCTCCCCCTCCAAGGGCCCAGGGCCCCCCTCGCGTCGGGAAAAGCAGGAGCGACGGAGGGTCTTCTGGTGAACCTGGCATCCTTGCCGCTTCGGCCCCCCCCTCGGCCCATCCGGCCCGGGCGCCGGCGCGGCCAGGATAGGGCAAGTCGGGCCTGTCCCTCTACAGGGGGAATATTCAAAAATAGTCTGAAAATAATCAGGGGGCTGTCTTTTGAGTTTTTCCCCACATGCTTCGTGGGATTCTGGTTTTCTTCCCTGCCGCGTCGCACCCGCGTCTCACCTCACACCTTCCCTCCTCCTCACAGCAGGGTCGGAGAGCGTGGCGGGCGCGGCATTTTCTCGACACCAGAGAGGGTGCGCAGGGGTGGTCTCTCACCGCGGCGTCTATGCGTGCCAGGGTCGGAGAGCGTGGCAGGCGTGGCACTTTCTCGACACCAGAGGGGGTGCGTAGGGGGTGGTCTCTCACCGCGGCCCCTATGCGTGCCAGGGTCGGAGAGCGTGGCAGGCGTGGCACTTTCTCGACACCAGAGGGGGTGCGCAGGGGGTGGTCTCTGACCGCGGCCCTTATGCGTGCCAGGGTCGGAGAGCGTGGCAGGCGTGGCGCTTTCTCGACACCAGGGGGGGTGCGCAGGGGGTGGTCTCTCACCGCGGCCCCTATGCGTGCCAGGGTCGGAGAGCGTGGCAGGCGTGGCACTTTCTCGACACCAGGGGGGGTGCGCAGGGGGTGGTCTCTCACCGCGGCGTCTATGCGTGCCAAGGGTCGGAGAGCGTGGCAGGCGTGGCACTTTCTCGACACCAGGGGGGGTGCGCAGGGGGTGGTCTCTCACCGCGGCGTCTATGCGTGCCAGGGTCGGAGAGCGTGGCAGGCGTGGCACTTTCTCGACACCAGAGGGGGTGCGTAGGGGGTGGTCTCTCACCGCGGCGTCTATGCGTGCCAGGGTCGGAGAGCGTGGCAGGCGTGGCACTTTCTCGACACCAGAGAGGGTGCGCAGGGGGTGGTCTCTCACCGCGGCGCCTATGCGTGCCAGGGTCGGAGAGCGTGGCAGGCGTGGCACTTTCTCGACACCAGAGGGGGTGCGCAGGGGGTGGTCTCTCACCGCGGCGTCTATGCGTGCCAGGGTCGGAGAGCGTGGCAGGCGTGGCACTTTCTCGACACCAGAGGGGGTGCGCAGGGGGTGGTCTCTCACCGCGGCGTCTATGCGTGCCAGGGTCGGAGAGCGTGGCAGGCGTGGCACTTTCTCACCAGACACCAGCGTGCCAGGGTCGGAGAGCGTGGCGCACTCGACACCAGAGAGGGTGCGCAGGGGTGGTCTCTCACCGCGGCGTCTATGCGTGCCAGGGTCGGAGAGCGTGGCAGGCGTGGCACTTTCTCGACAGCAGAGGGGGGTGCGCAGGGGGTGGTCTCTGACCGCGGCCCCTATGCGTGCCAGGGTCGGAGGGCGTGGCGGGCGTGGCACTTTCTCGACACCAGAGAGGGTGCGCAGGGGGTGGTCTCTCACCGCGGCGTCTATGCGTGCCAGGGTCGGAGAGCGTGGCAGGCGTGGCACTTTCTCGACACCAGGGGGGGTGCGCAGGGGGTGGTCTCTCACCGCGGCGTCTATGCGTGCCAGGGTCGGAGAGCGTAACAGCGTAGCAGGCGTTGACATAATATTTAAATTAAGTATGTGGGGTTCCTCGGTAGCGTAATTGTTTTGCCATTTTGGAGCACTTTTGGGGGTATTTTTGTTAGTTTTCGTTGAACATCCCCCTGTAGGGGGACGCGCCCGACCTAAGGATAGGGGTGTGTTAGGGTGTGCCCCCTTGCATCCTGCGGCCTTCCGCCTCGCCCCGGTCGAAGAGAACCTCAGCATATGGCTTTCCAGGGCCACTACTGCATCCGTACCACGCATCCTCATGGTGCGCTTTGGCTGCACAGTGGGAGCCCATGCCAAGGAGCTTAGGCGAATAAAGCTATGCACATGCACCGATCCTGGCAAGGCCCATCCTTGGCCCTAGGATCGGTGCACATGCTTTCCTGGCCAAGGCAGGAGGGCGTATGCACCGATCTTGGACTCAGGACGGACCTGGCCAAAATCGGTGTATGTGCATGGTTCTTTTTCCTCTAGGAGCACCCTGCTTGCCGTGTGTTTGCGAGACAGGATTCCGGAGTACTTTTTCACGGCATCGCTTATTCGGCGGTGACGGAGGGCGAGCTAGTTTTCATCGTCTCGCCTCCCATCTGGAGGCCGCTAGTCTCCGCTTCGCTGTCTTCTGAGATGCCTTCCAGTCGTCGCGTCGGAAGAAAATCAAAACATAAGCACCCTGCTTGCCTCCTGGGTGCTCGTGGTTTCTTGGGCCTCGACGGTCTTGCTACGGAGAACGTGACGTCCCCACACCGGAAAGCAGTGGACGCCCTGGGGTCTCAGGGGTCGTGTTTCTTGTGGAAGGTCTCTTGTGGTCGAGCTCCCACTGTTTACGGGCTCCAGGTGCTCAGAGGGCCGCGCGGACGTCTTGGGTCGGCGCCGGGCCCCCCCTTCCCCCCCGAGCCCTGGCGTCGCCCGCCAGCGAAGGCTGGTGGCGCGCACAGGGGGGGGGGGGAAGGCCTCTTGGAAGGATGCTGCTTCTTAGAATGCGCCGGCCCTGCATGGGGCGTTCCAAAAGGTTCCTGGCCTTCGAGGATCGAAGGAGTTGTCATCTCTTCCTCGGCGGAAGGGCGGCGGAAGTAAAAGGAGGCCGCCTCCGCCAGCGGAAGCCGGCGGAAGGCCGGCGGAAGGCGGCGGAAGTAAAAGATGCGCCCTCAAGAGATCAACACGTTTGTGGGTTCAGGGTTTCGGGGACCCAGCTGCAGACGAGGCCCGTTCATTCTGACAGGCAGGGGGGCTTCTCTAAGAAGCCTCCTCCCCTGCCGCTGCCCCCGTGCGAACGCGCCGCCAAGAAGGCCCGTCGGGAGAGGGGGTCCCCGCGCCGACCCAGGCTGAGCGTGGGCAGCCGACGGCCCGTGTGCCGCTGTGCCCCTGCCCGCGGCGCCTCCGCGACGACCTGCGTGCACCGCGCCGCGCTGGCGCCGCCCAAGGCGCTGGCTTCGATCCCCCGCGCCGCGCCGAGGAGAGCTGTGCGCCGTGCCGCGCGGGCGCGGGGCCCGGATGTTGGAGCCGTCTTGGGCTCTGAGTCGGGGGCGGACAGACCTCCTACCCTGACACGTCGATTATGGAATTGGCCGTTTTCGGTTCGCGAGAGGGCGTCGCGGCCGTCATTTTTGCGGGTCCAGGTCCGTCGGTTTCGGTCCCAGGCCGTTTTCACTAAGGGGAGGTTTACTAAAGGGAGGTTTGTCCACCGCCGACTGAGGTGGCCATAGGCACAGGTGCCGGCCAGCAGGGAGGGGCGTCAGACTCGAGTCGGTGAGGCTGTCGGCTTTTTTTTCTGCCTCCGGGGGGGCCGTGTTCGGGTCCCGCGGCAGCGGGAAACGGGCCCGGAGTGAAAACTACACCAGGTGGGACCCTGGGAGGGGTCCGGGCCCGGACTCTGAGCTGGTTTGGTTTCGTCGCCCCTTGACTGCTTTTTCCCGGGTGTTGGCCAGTTCAGATGCTTCGGCCTCCGATCACTACCTGGCTTTTCGGCCCCCAGGGCCGACACACGATGCACCCTAAACAATGGTTTCGCAACACATGTTTGACAGCTATCTTTGCGAAGGGCCCAACCATATGGTGAGCGTTCTTTTCTCTCCCCCTTCCCAGGGTAGCACTCGGTACCCAGGCCGAGCCCCGCCCCCCCCCCACACACACCAGGTAACGCTAACGATCATGCTGGGGGGGGGTCTGTATCCACCGCACATGCTGTGGTGCACACAGGCGATTAATGAGTCGGTGGCGCGGACGCACCCTGGCGAGTGCACGCCGCGGCCGCCGTTACCGCTGCCCCCTTCTAACTCGTGCGAACACCACCAATGGGGCCTTCGGTGGAGCTCCCTATGGGGCCACGGAACGTTGTCCTGACTGGGGGGGACGCATGCGAACACCGCCACTGGGGCCTTTGGTAAAGCTCCTTATGGGGCCGCGGAACTTTGTATTGGGTGGGGAAAAGCATGCGAACACCGCGACTGGGGCCTTTTGGTAGAGCTCCCTATGGGGCCTCGAAGCGCTGTACCTGGTGTGAGAGACGCATGTGTGCGGTACCATTGAGGCCTTCGGTGGAGCTCCCTGTGGGACCATGAAAGTCTGTACTGTGCAGGGAGAGACGCATGCTGCACCCCGCAGATTTCACCACGGCGTCTGCGCCACAATGCTTGCGCATCTGAAGGATTGCACCACAAGGATTGCTCAACGCAAATTGCACAACATCGGCTCCTACACGCAAATTCCGCCGCCTAGCTTGCCCCCCCCCAAATTGCGCCACATGTGTGGCGCAACGAATAGTTCACAACGTACAGTTTGCATCACGTAGATTCTCTTCTTTGGGATCTCCCCCCTCCCCCCTGGACTTAACGACCTCCCCTTTCGCGCGTTACACTTTGCGCGTAATTCTGCCCCATTGCCCATCATAAATATGACTTCTTTTTATTTCAGTCAGAACGGCATCGCCCCTCCCCCTATCTCGCCTCATCCTTTTCTGCAAAAACAATTAGCGCGCGCACTCGTTTATGACAAATCCGCAACTTCCAAGGACCCGCTTGTTCAAACAACAACGGGGCGAAGCGCACGCGCGCGCGAAGTCGCGCGCGCATGCCGAAATCTGGCACAAAGCTTTGGTTGCGCAGCGATTTCAGAATTGAGCACCCTGATAACATGTAACAACACATGGTTTTGTAGCACAGTCTTTGGCAACACAACATGCCTGTTCCGGCGATTTCACAGCTTCTTAAGGAAACCGTAGCTTTCCAACATTTCCATCAAATGCTACCAAACGTGTTTTCGACGCGCGCATGTCGACATCGTTCGAACGTCCTTGCGCGCGTGCTGGCGCAAGAACCCCTTGCGATAAATGAGGCGACATGCTCGCGCGCGCGCGTTGTCGCGCGCGGGTGCGAAAAATCTTGCGAACAAACAATTGGTTTCGTAGGGTGTTCAAAATCGAGGTCCCGAAGAACACACTAAAAACACGTGGGTGGGCAACGCCAGTTTTCAAAAATGCCAGCGCTCGTGCTCTTCATCGTCTCTGTTAAATGTGGCCCAGCGGGCCTCCCGCCCGGCATGTGGAAATCATTCGAGCGCCCTTGCGCGCGCACTGGGGGGGCGGGGCACGCGCCGTGCCAAGTAACACCATGCGGGCCACTCTTGCGCGTCGACCGCTCGCGCATGTCAAGCTCATTCCACACCCTTCGTCACCGACTCGAGGACGCCGCCATCGTCGTCGGCATGATCAGCATCGGCGCCGTCACTTGCCGTGCCGTCGTCGTTGTCGTCATCGTCACCATCATCGCTACGATCATCATCGCGTCCACCGTTGTCCATGTTGCCATGATACCGCGCCTGACCAAGTCGCCGACTCGCACTGAAGTGCCCGCTGGGGAGTGCCACGTGGTCAGCGCCACCGCGGCCGCGTTGGTCGCGCCCAAATTATGTTGCAGCTGCGCGCGCGAGCATGCGCGGGTCAGCGCGGCCGCAGAAGTTCACCAGTCAGCGCCGAGCAGTCTCCGCAATCGCCGCCGCATGGGTTTTGCAAGCCTAGTTGCGGGTGGGCGGGTGGGGTGATTGCGCGAGCAGTGTGATTGTTTTGTCAACTTCAGAACTCGGCAGGGCGAGTGGCACCACGTATGTAGGATGAGCCACGCAATTTGCAGAACATAGGTTGCTAGAGACACGCTGTTTGGGGCCCACGATGGCTGACACACACACACACACCGACTGGCATACTCATTCACACACGCGTGCACCAATATGTGTATATAGATATAATATGTATATTTCCTATACAAACACATATGTATTTACAGCTGCCCACACGTGTGCATCAATGTGTCTGCATACACAGATATGTACACACATACGTTTAGATATACGAGCATACATATATATATATATATATATGTGCATATGTAGTTCCGTAAATGTTCACGTGTATATCGTGGCGTGCACACAAAAAACAAAGAAGCTGTATAGATGCCCACTTTTATACGTTCATATCCACACAGATGCACGACCCAATGTGCACAGATGTATGTATGTATGCATGCATGCATGTATGTATGTATGCATATATGTATGTATGTATGTATGTATGTATGTATGTATGTATGTATGCATGTATCAAGGATGGTTCCCCCCCCATCCCAAGGACGCCATGTACAGCGCGGCGTGGGCGCTGCTGGTGCAGCTCCTGGTTGCGCTGGTCGTAGGGCAGCTGGCCACCCACCGCTCAGCCCCCGCGCGCGGGGGGGGAGGCCGAGCCCGCTCGATGGTGATGCCGGTTGTGCCGATGTCCTCTTCCTTTTTCCGGGTACAACAAAAGGGGCAAGCACACTTAAGTTGTTCCGACATGAACACTTTGATTGTGGTTGTGGTCGATTTGGGCGTCCTCGGACGTCACATAGACCACAACCAGCACTATCCTGGCGTCGGTGTTATTACGATTGTTGGCATGCGCAGGACATCACCTAGGGTGTGCCCTGGATGTGGTTGTGGTCGCTTGCTGCACCCGCGTGTTTCTCGGCGAGGCGAGCGCCAGAACATCTGGACCATCTGGAAACAGCCTGGACCATCTTGGGGGAAAACAGCACGCACGAGACCAATAGAATGCACGGGGAATGGACGCCCGAGCGATGGCAAGGTAAGGCCCCCCAGGCGTCCACCGATGCTGTGTTTCCGTCCGCGGCCAGTTGCGCCCCGCCGAGCTCCCGACCCCCTCCTCGGGGGCAGCTCAAGTTCCGTTTTCGTTGTTGCTTGGGTAGCCCCGGGGCCAGAACATGACCCTGCGACGTCCCCAGCCCACTCGCACCAAGTGACAAGAGGAGTTCCCCTGATCAGCACGGATGACGACTGTGCAGGGGCAGCTCTTTTTTGAACGAGCTACACGGGATGCTCGCGCGCTGCACCCATACGCTGCACCCATGCTCGAAGAGGAATTGGGCGGGACCGAGAGGCAGGCGACGGGCAGAACGGGTGCCGAGAACTCAGCGCTCCAGCAGCAGGGAGGCGGAGGAAGAGGGAAGAGGATGTCAAAGACGGAGGAAGGATGAGAGAGCGGCTCGCTGAAAATGTAGCAGCAGAGTCCGCGCCATGTCGCTCTGGTGCCCCGACCCCGAAGGATGAACTGTCCATCAAGATCGCAGGAAGCGCGCGAGGAAACTTACGAGAAGTGTAACAGAAGGGGCCCGACGTCTGACTGAGACTGGTAACACATCACTTCGCTGGACCCCCCAGCAGCCCTCGAACGTGGCGGCTGTGTCTCTGTTCGCAGCCCCCATGCGGGGTCTAATCTGAATATGCGGTCAGGCGTAATTCTGTTGGAACCCCAGCAGTCCTTGAAAGTGGCGGCAGGTTATAAGTTCGCGCCCCCCCCCCCCCCCCCCAGGCACGGCGACTGGTCTTTTGTGCGGCCCGTTGGGTTCTTGTGCGGCCCAGCGGCCTGGTGGGTCTTACTGCGGCCCGCGCTGACCCTTTCTCAGCTTTGGAAATCCTGGCAACCCTGAAGGGCTTGCGTTCCTGCCCAGAAAAGGTGGCCGCACCAAGGATTATCTGCAGGCGCGCTGGAAGCAATCTAGTAGTATTTTGGCAAATGTTCAATGTGACGTTCCAACATAACAGTTTTTGAAGCAAAGTGATAAGCCCAGCTGCATACCCGAATGTGTGTGCAGCGCTGGAAAATGGTTCGATAAACAGGCTCGAATCAATCGTCCTGCTGCGCATCACGATCATCATCATGTTTATCCTCATCCTCCCCGTCATGATCATCCTCCCTTCGTCTTGCACTTGTCAACACCACACGCGTAATCTTCCTTCATCCGTCTTCCTTGTCATTATCACCCTGGCCCCCATGTCCCTTCTCCTGGCTCCTCACTCCTACCTTTTTCCGCTCCTCCTCCTCCTCGTTCTCCCCGTTGTTCATTGTTCGTCTTGTCCCTCCGCATTATGTTCCTCCAGTTGCGTGCTCCTGCTGCCTTCCGTCCTGCTAGCTCCTCCCGCTGCCTACCTTTTTTATGTCGGCTCCTCCTGCTGCATGATCCTCCTGAATCCTCCTCTTCCCCCTCGCCTCCTCCACCCCATCCACCACTACATCCTCCTGCCTCCTCCTGCTCCTTCTCCTCCTCCTCCTCCTCCTCCTCGTCCTCATCCTGCCTCCTACTGCCTTTTCCTCGTCGTCTCCCTCGTTCTCGCCCGCAGCTTAGTCCTCCTCCCCCTCCCCCCATTCTCCTTCTCGTCATCATCAAGTAGCCAGTGTCATCGACAGCATCGTCGTCATCATCGGAATCGGAGTCCTTCTCAGAGTCCTCATCACCATCGTCGTCGTAAGCATCATCAGCAGTATCATCATCTCCACCACCATCGTCACCACCATCATCATCATCGTCATCACCATCAGCATCACCATCGTCATCATCATCAGCATCGTCAGTATCAGTTTCATCATCATCAGCAGCATCATCATCAGCATGATCATCGCCATCATCATCCTACTAAGCATCATCACCATCATCATCAACATCAGCATCGTCATCGTCATCGTCATCGTCATCGTCCTTGTCGTCGTCATCGGCATGGTCGTCGTTCTCCTAATCATTTGATTCAGTTTCGGCATCAGCATCGGCACCATCAGCATCATCAGTAACAACATCCTCTTCAGCAGCAGGATCGGCAGTAGCACCAAAGTCGTGCTCGTCCTCGTCCTCTTGATCCTCCTCCTTCTCCTCCTCCTCCTCCTCCTCCTCCGTCAGCAGACAGTCCTCCTGCTTCTGCGGATAGGGCGGCCGGTTTGCAAGTCGCGTGGCCGCTCGAGGGGGGGAGAACGAGGAGGAGGAGGAGGAGGAGGAGGAGGAGGAGGAGGAGGAGGAGGAGGAGGAGGAGGAGGAGGAGGAGCAGCAGCAGCAGCAGCAGCAGCAGCAGCAGCAGCAGCAGCAGCAGCAGCAGGAGGGAGAGGGAAAGGGAGGAGGGAGGTGGACGGGGGAGGAGGGAGGTGAGAGAGAAGGGGCCCCACGAGGCTCTACAGATGCCCCATGAAGCCATGAAGCTCTTCAGAGGGACCCAAGAGTCTCTTCAGAGGTGCCCAAGAAGCCCTCTAGGGGGGCTCAAGGGCTCTTCAGGGGGGCATGGCGCTCTTCACGGAGGCCAAGAGGCTCTTCCCAGGCCCCCCCCCCCAGAAGCTAGGCTCCAGGACGCTCTTCAGAGGCTCTGCAGAGGCCCCAAGAGGCTCTCCAGAGGCCCCAGTGGGCTCTTCAGAGGCCTCCAGATGCTCTTCAGATGCCCCAAGGAGCTCTTTAGGGGGGCACGACGCTCATCAGGAGGTCCAAGAAGCTCTTCAGACGCCAGCCATAAGCTCTTCAGAGGCCCGAGCCGGCTCTTCAGAGGCCCCAAGAGGCTCTTCCGAGGCCCTAAGAGGCTCTTTCGAGGCCCCAAGAGGCTCTCCAGAGGCCCCAAGACGCTTGTCGGGAGGCACAAGAGGCTCTTCACGGGGGCCCAAGAGGCTCTTCAGAGAGCCTTCAGGGGGCCCAGAGCCCCAAGACGCTCTTCAGGGGGGCCAAGAGGCCCTTCAGGGGGGCTCAAGAGGCACTTCAGGGAGCCTTCAGGGGGTCCAAGATTCTCTGCACTGCCTGCTTCTCTGTCCTCGAGGATTCATATACTTCGGGGAACCCTCGGCCGTACTCAAGCCCACCAGGTCGCACAAAAGTCCACCTGGCCTCAGAGGGAACCTGATCATCCCAGGCACGGCGAGGTTTAACTTGAATCTGTGACAACACGTCACCCCGCTAGACCCCCAGCAGCCCTCGAAAGTGGCGGCGGCTCGACAGTTCGCAACCCCGCAAGGACGGCAAGGTTTAATTGGAATTTGCGGTACTTCCCAACGATTTCGCAGTTCGCAGCCCCCCAGGTCAAGGTGTCACCTGAATCTGCGGTGTGAAATCTCTCCGCTGGACCCCCCAAGCAGCCACCAAAAGTGGCGACGTGTTCGCAGTTCGCAGCCCCCCATTGATGGACAGGTCTAGTCTAAATCTGCGCTAAGGCGTCAATCCGCTGGACCCCCCACAGCAGCCTGTAAATATTGCGACAGCGTTTGCAGTTCACAGCCCGCTTGGGATGGTGAGGTGTAGTTCGAATTTGCGACAAGACGTCTCTCTGCAGGACCCCTCAGCAGCCTTCGCAAGTGGCGTCAGTTTCGCAGGTTGCACCCCGCAGTCATGACGAGGTCTAGTCTAAATCTGCGGTAAGACGTCATTCCGCTGGGCCCCCCCAGCAGACCTCGAAAGTGGCGTGAGTTTTGCAGATCGCGGCCCCTCATGGACGGCGAGGTCTAGAGTGAATATGTGGTACGGCGTCGCTCCGCTGACTCCCCACTGCAGCCCTCGAAAGTGGCACATGTTTCGCAGTTCCCTCCCCCCAGGCGAGATCATGTAGGACGGCGAGATGGGAGGCAGGCTGTCAGGCAGGTAAAAGCCACGTGAGAGGCAAGGGAAGAGGAGGAGGAAAGAGAGGAGGTGGGATGGAGGAAGGTGGTGACTCCAGTCGAGAACCCAACGCAGGAGGGTTGGGAAACGTGTCGCCCCTGTCTCGTCAGTCTCCCCCTCTCTCAGACGGCCGCTGCCAACGGCCTCGTGCACCTGGTGGGCCGTGCGCTGCGCGCCACGCGTGTGCATTGGCAGCAGACGGCCTCGTGTCCCTGGGATCCACCGCTGTGACCCAGCAGGCGTACACCATTGTAAGTGCCCACCGCCTATCTTGGCGAGACAATCACGGTGGGAGTTTTTGTTGCCGATTTCGGCCTCTGGGTGCTCACCTAGCTTTGGGACCGTCGACAAATGACACATTTGTCTTGGGAACTGGGGATCCACGCAGTGAGACAAACACGACGTCGGAGTTTTGTGAATTTTTTTGGAGGGGGGGATTTCTGATCAGTTCGAGTGGCTGTCGCGCGCATTTCGTGTTTTGTTGCTTCGGCTTTCCGCACGGTGCATTTCGCCATGTCGATGCGCAGGTAACGCCGTGCGCTGGCAGGCGCTGAGCTCGAGCGTCATGCTATCCTACACTGGCACGGCACCACAAACCGGCACAGACGTCGCCTACTGCTGACGTCGGAAGGGGGCAAGTCGAGACAGCGACGGCCCTCCCAGGCGTTTCTTTCGTTGTCGCTGGGGGCCCCCTGGGGTCTCTTACGCCATGGCTGGGCCCGCCTCGAGAAGCGGGTCCAGGTCGACCCCGAGAGGGGTTAGTGTGCAGATTTTGGACGGAATTGGGCCCGACGGACTGGTTTTGACAGGTTTCCGTCCCCGGGGGGGCCCTCACCAGGCGCCCCGGGGCCTTCAGAAATTTCTCAGGGTGGAGAGCTGCTCTCGGGAGGGGGGGGGCTGGTGGGCGCCTCCGGGCCTGCCGTATCCAGGACCCCTTTGCCTACCACCCGGGGGGGGGGGGAACACAAACACACACATTCACAGACACACACACACAGACACACACACACACACACACACACACACACACATTCACACACACACACACACGCACACACACAGACGCACACACACACACATTCACACACACACACGCACACACACACACACACACACACACACACACACACACACACACACTTTAACACACACACTTTAACACGCGCGCACACGCACACATCCAGGACCCCTTTCCTCCAAGACCCGCTTCCCTCATCCTCCGCTTTCTCCCGCCCCAGGTGAGTTCTGCCTCGGTGGACCCCAGCCTCGGTGGCTCTCAAGTATACAAAGGCCGCGGCCTCTCTTATCATCATCGCCTAACGGATCCCGATCCCCGCTGAGCTATGGTACCTCAGCCCCATCTGCCCACTCCTCCGGGTGGGGATAGGCCAGGGGAGACCCGAAAGGATCAGCCCAGATCCCGAGACTTTCTCCGATATGTTTTTTTCGCAGCGCGGTTGCCCATAAGATCTGGACGTGTTCCTTGGGACCGATTTTTGATCCTGAGCCTTTTTTGATAGTCTTGGGGCCCGGCGAGGAACCCAGAGGCCGAAATGGGGGGAACGCAAATCCGTCGTGAT